TATATATATATATATATATAACCATATGTGAAAATTTCATGACATTAAACAGCTAGTAATTTCTATAATCCTAAGAAGTTGATGGAATTTTCTAAAACTTGATTCATAAGAAGAAAAGTGAATGCAATCATGCTTTTTTGTAGTATCTCCTCAAGTTCCTGAGGTTTGTGATATAGCTATAAATGTAATTTCATTGTGTGTGCACATAGATATCTCTGTTAATAAATAAAACTATAACATACTTTATAGTTTTAACATAGTATAACTTTAACATAGTATAAACACTATGTTTTATTGCTGCTTAAATCATTTAATATCCTTTGCATTTGTTTAAGGGATCAAATTAAATAACAAATTGTGTTATAGAAATGGCCATTGTCTATGGGTTTAGGAGGTTTCTATGGATTCGTCAACTTACTCATTTAGATAAGAAATGACATTACTCCTTTCTCCTCTCTATTCCTAGAGTGCTTTTCCTGTTCATCACTCTTTCTCTGTCTCCTGAATGCACATCTGTTAGATGGAAGTGTTAAACACCATTTGTTAAACACCAGTGGTACTGGAGACTAGAATATTCTGTGTTTTCTACTTTTTATGGGAGTTTCATAGGCCCTACTAATGCTTTTGTCATTGACTAGAGATGCCATATGTTAGAATGAAAAATATGCTTTGAAGAGGTTGAAAAATTGCTCCACAGTCAGTTTTCCATGGGTCCTCTGTCATTTTGGCTGTAGGAGAAGAAAGTTGGAGGAACAAAAACTTTTTCCATAGACAGATAAATACGAACTCTTCTAACGTAGAAAGAATAGACTAAGAAACAAAACATGAATAAGAACGTTCATTCATACTGGGATGGCATACCCACAAAGAAGAGAGGGTGCCAGAAGGGATTTGGGGATGAATGGGGGCTGAACCAGTGGCCCCTGCACCCAAGATGACAGGTATCCCCAACTGTCATTTGTGTCTCCTTGACACAGGGGAAGAATTTGATTGTGAGAGTGAGAGCCCACAGTACTTTATTGGTCTAAATCAGGACTCAGCGCTGACTTAGCTGGAAACCTTTTTTCCATGTGGTAAAACACAACAGCTCGTGCGACACAGTTGAATGGAAAGATGAAATATTTCCTCTGGCTTCAAAATGTTTCAGTCATTAATAATGTTTATCTAAGTAAATATGTGCCATTGTTTCCCCAGTAGTGGATCTCAAATAAACTAATGTAACAACTAATCCAAGAAATGCCCTTAGAGTGGATGCGTGCATTCATTGGCGTTTGATGCTTGCATCTGAGATGGCAAAGTAATAGATTCTCATAGTCATTCACATCATTTCTTTAGAAATACTTTTTGGTTGGGTCTGCTGTCTGTGTAGGTCAAGCTAAAAGACACACTAGCTTACTTTATTTACATAGTTATGCTGGGATGAGTGTAATCATGATGTTTTGAAGGAAAACTATATAATCTGATTATTTTAAGTAAGGAATGTGGGGTTCATATTATTTTAAAAGGCAAAAATAATTGGGAAGACGTGGAAAGCTAATACTTCTTTGAAAAGTTGCTTTTTTCCTCACTGTATAAAATTCTTTTGGGTACAGGCCATGGGAAGTGTTACTGTGGAAACTGTTACTGCGAGGCTGGTTGGCATGGAGACAAATGCGAATTCCAGTGCGACATCCCCCCCTGGGAAAGCAAGCGAAGATGCACAGCTCCTGATGGCAGAGTGTGCAGTAACAGAGGTGTGTCATCGTAAATGCTACTACATCATCGGGAGGCAAACAGAGCTCTTAATTGTTAACACGGCTCTCCATTTCCTTCAGTGTGGGAGGGACTTGTCTTTTATGTCATTTACTTCGATGTAAATCAGTGCTTACCAACAATCTTCTCTTTCTTGTTCTTTACTGAGCAGAAAACAGAAAGATAAGAAAGTTGCTGTCATTCTTTAAGCTTCACTGAACAAACGGTTGACATAGGGACAGTAATTTCTTTGGCGGACATCCAGAAATAGCACAGTACAGCTAAAAGGCAATTCTTGTAGATACTTCTGCTAAATGTCTCTTGACTAACAGAACCATCGGCAGTATGAGCATCTAATTATCCAGAGAGCATTCAGAAAACCCTCTCCTTTTAATTATGAGTAAATCCAAGTCTTGGCTAAAATGTAGAATTGATGTAGATGAATTTAACTTCTGTCTGCCGTAATAGGAACATGATATTGAAACTATTCATCAGATAGCCCTGTGAAATTTAAACTTGATCTTAAGCAGGAATTTTTAAAAAATTTGTTCACACTGATAAAATATAAACTACAGTTACTTGATAGTTGATGTAAAATCAAATTTGTTAGACAGTTTTTAAAGTCTTTGTTATTTTTCCCTTTGAGGTAGATAAAAGAGGGCCACACTGGACCATTGCCTATCTTGAGGCATAAATAATGACTGTGTTTCCTTCTATAAAATGATAAAATTCTAGAAAGCGAGAAAACTATTGTTTTCATTTTCATAAACAAATTTTTTGTTGTAATAGGTCATGCTGACCTGGAAAGCTTTAAAAACTGAGAAAAGAGTTCCATGTGCCAAAGTTCTGTAATAAAAAGAGGAAATCAAGAATCCTAAACTCAGAGCACAACCTCATAGAGTCCTCTCTTTCCGTGGACTAGATCTTGCTGTCTGTCATACTAATTCACTCTGTGCTTCTTTTCATGTATAGGGACATATTTTCTGCTCAAGTCCTTTTGGTTTGATAGGGTGCCTAGACCCCATGTTGTCAGTGTGTGAAGCCTGAGCTGTGCTGCTGTGGAATGGGACTGCTCAGATGTTGAACCAGGAGAGGCAGGAGCGAGGTGGGTTGGGCTGTGGTTAGGGACAGGCTCTGCCACAGAGCTGTGTGGGCTCTGAGTGGCAGGTGACCCTTGGAAACGCCCACTGGGCCACCTCTCCATGGTACTGCCTGCAGCCTGCCTAAGTGAGGCTCCTAGCTCAGAAGGCTCAGGGGACTGGAACACAGAGCACTGAGATGGGCCTTTTCTCTCAGAAGGCACGCTCCTGTCTGCTCTGGCACATTTTCTTATCACCGCCTCCCTAGGGACAAGAGAGACACTGGCCCCTGCTCACACTCGCCTTGGGTTGATTTTTAGCCCAACACCAGGTTGCAGGCACAGCCACCCGGTGATGGGAAATGTTCTTGGTCGTCCACCACCTGGGGCACTCTCAGTCTCATGCGAGGCCTGAGGAGCTAGTGGCCAGTGGTCCCTGTCCTCCATCATCTATACTGTTATGATAGTAGAACATATCCATTTTTTTAAAAGAATTCAGGTAATAGAGGATAAGGGGAAAAAGGAAAATGATACATCATCTTAACATCCAGATATAGCATCCTTTTGTATTTAGATACATGACTTTTTTGGGTACTTATTTATTTAAATTATTATTAAAATTTTAATTTAAAATTCACTTGTGTGACTCCCATGCCCTTTGTTTTAGTCAGCTTTTTCACTGCTGTGACCAAAAGATTAAAAAAGAAGGATTTTAGAGGAGGTAAAGTTTATTTGGGGGCTCACGGTTTCAGAGTTCTCAGTCCATAGATGGCTGACTCCATTCTTTGAAGCCTAAGGTGAAGCTGAATGTCATGGTGAAAGAATGTGGCAGAGAAAAGCAGCCCAGGACATGGTCAGGAAGCACGGGGAGAGTAGGGACCCACCTCCTGCAGCTACACCCTACCTGCCTGCAGTTACCAGCCAGTGAGTCCCTATCAGGGATTAATGCACTGATTGGGTTAAGATTCTCATAACCCAATCACTTCACCTCTAACCTCTTGCATTGTCTCACATGTGAGCTTTTGTGCAGACACCTCACATCAAAACCATGACACCCTCCTAAGGAATATGACTACTTTTATCTTTCTTCTTAGTAGACACAAAAATTGAATCATACTATCTGTACCAGGTTGTAGTTTGATTCTATTCATTGAGTAACATATTTTGCTTCTCTTCCCGTGTTCATAGAGCAACAAGCTGATTATTGCTCCTAATGAGGGCTTTGTAATCCACCGGACACACACATTGTTACCACACTCATTCTCCACTGCTGGATGCCCGGTCACTAGCTGTTTTTCAGTAACATAATCACATTTCATGTTCCTGAGTTGTGCTTTTCCTTTCTGTTGGAAGTATTGATTGAAGTGGACAGTTCGCTGGACAATACCCCACATCTAGAGTGCATTCCATGAAGGTGTCACCCAGAATTGCTGCTCTGTCCTGCACTTTAGAGCGGGAGATGCTTCTTGCCCTACCCTGTACCACCCCTGGATTCTGGCAGTCCTTTCTGCCTCCACAGCCAGGCATCCAGAGTAACCCCAGCTCACCGCTGCTTTAAAGCCTCAGCCTGGCCCTTAGTAATCCTTGCTTACACTGATCCATCCATCCTTCTCTATGAAATTTCCTAGGTTGTTCCTGGTCTTTGCTTGTTTTACTTCAGGTATATTTAACCTTTATGTCTTGATTCCTAAGAGATATTCATGTTTGTGAATGTGCACTTATTTTTGGCATACATATGAACGTTTGTTTCAGCTTCTTTAGTGTTTTTTTTTTTAAGTTGTTTTGTTCCTGAACCAAAATCCAGATTTTGATGAGGTTAAATCTGTCTCTTTTTATAGTTTTAGTAATTCTGCTTTGGGGGTTTGAATAAAGGATTTTTTTTTCGTATTTTTGGTTTTATTTTGTACATTTAAATCTTTCATTCAATTACTACTTATTTTGATATAAAGGGGGGAGATGTGGGGAAAGAAATCTAACTTTATTTGCCCCCAGAGGATCAGCTGTTGCCCTAAAGATGGCTACTGATGATCTGCACACATCCTAGTGACGGAGGTACACTTCTCACTTGGACGCCGAGCATCCTCCATGTCCTGGACTCATCCTCCAGCAAACTGACTTCTCAGTCTTCCTTTGCGGGCACTGGGACCCCCATGCCCACCACCACCTTCCCGCTTCCTTCAGCCTCCTCAGGTTCTCCTCCTCCTCTGTCCCTCCAGCCCACGCTGACCCCTCCCTCCTGAACTCACACACGTGTATGTCCTAGTTGACGAAATGTCAAGTGCCCCTGCTCTCACTGTTGGCTCTTTTCTTTCTCTAGCTTTCTTTTTGGCCAACAGACTGTAAGCTTCTAGAGGGAAAAGATGACTTTGTGCTAGTTGTTGTGGCATTTTCTTTGAGAGAAACTAACACGGTGCTAATGACAAGTCCCTCTGTCTCACCTGATCAAAGATGAGAGCGGTGGTTGTTTATTAGGACTCTCTGCTACCAAATTCAGAGGGTGATTTTCCATTTTAGAACATGTTTATCTGAAATGTGTATTTTCCAAGTAAAAAAGAGCAGCAGCATGGGAGATGCTTTCTTTCCTGGTTCTTCTCGACTGCACCTGGATGAAATTCCTTTTTCCACCCAGGGACTTGCGTGTGTGGTGAATGTTCTTGCCACGATGTCGATCCAACTGGGGACTGGGGAGACATTCACGGGGACACCTGTGAGTGTGACGAAAGGGACTGCAGAGCTGTCTACGACCGGTATTCCGATGACTTCTGTTCAGGTAAGGGCTCCTCTCGTTCCTATCTTTACATAAAAAGGCTGTTCACTCTTTTCCAGATTGATTCCGATTCTTGAAGACACTGTGGAAGAAACCGAATGTTTCTACAGCTCTGGGCATTTGCAGAGCTCCTACTCGTAACCTGGGAAACTCTGTAGAATTCACACATTTGGCCAAGGCTTACGATGGAAGCCCACGTGCTTTCTTAAAATTAGTCTAATTCCTCACTGAAGAGGACCATTAGCTCCAGATGCCCACTCAGTGCAACTCTGAGGACACCAGAGCAGCTTCGTGAACAGGATAGTTGTCATCAGGACACCACAGTAGCATATTACAAACCTTAGGATAATACAGTGTCGGGGATATTTCTCTGCACCAACTCTTTGATAGGATTTTTACACCATTATCCTGTAATATAGGCTAGAGTTGAATATCAATAAATGGATTCAAAAATCTTATACCATAAATATTAATGGAGCAGATATTATTTGCCAGGGACTGGGCAACATCTGGGCTGTTGGTTCCATCAATAAAAGAAACCAATATGATCCTTCACTTGATGGATGTCATGATCTAAATGCCAAGAAAAAAAAAACACAGCTGAAGAGCTAATGGTAAACTGAATAACATCAATAAAAAGGCAGTCAGAGCTATCTGAAAGAGTGTCACTTAGCAAAAAGCAAAAATGCAGTTACAGATTTTCAGTCCAGTTATGTTTGACGATCCAGAGGGCAGAGGCATCTGCATATACATTTATTTCTAAGCCCGACAGACTGGTGGGTGCATGGAGATAGATAGAAAGCTGCTCTGATCTGAAAGTCTGCCAGCAAAGGGAGATAAAAGTGCCGCCCTGTGCAATCACCATTATGTAACCTCAAAGGCCGAGAAAGCCCACTGCTCAAACTTGCCACTGCAGAAGGATTTCCGTCCTCAATGATTCCTTCCTCCAGAGCATTTGCTAAATATTTTTGGAACACTATTTTCTGTTTTTACCCCCTCTCATCCATTATATAGATAAGTATTCTTCATTATCATCATATAAACACAACAGTAATAAAATGGCTAGCAACTATTGAGTGGCTTCTACCTGCCAAACACATATTGAGGGGCTGCTGTCATTTTAATTAGGGTGAGGTGGCTCTTCACAGAGGTGGTGATGCAGGCAAGTGCTCCTGCATTGTTGGATGCTATTGGGTCACACACATGTGGGGTTTTGCCTTGAAAGGTAGGTTTGCAAGTAATGAAATATGAGAAGGGCATCCTAGGCCGGAGGAATGGAGGGGTGTGATCTGTGCCTGGCATTACAATGGGTTTGAAATGAACAGAATGAACTAGGAAGGGAAGGGATGGTCAAAGTAAAGGTAGTGAGGAAGAAAAATGGGGCGACTTTTTACTGTGCTGAAGAACCAGGCTCTATAATACAGGCAACGGGGAGCTAGTGATGATTTAGACAGACAGGTGCTAGGGTCCTATTTCTAGTGTTGTTGTCTGGGTGGATGTTTTACCATTTACGGAAAGTGGGGACCATACAGGAAGTTATCATCCAGTTTGTGCTCAGACATCATGAGCATAGAAGACCATTGGCAAGCCAAATGTAGATTTTTCAGTTTAAATTAAGAAAACAAAAGGAACAATAAATCAGGCTGTATTTTACAGTTACATTTGTGATTTGCTGATTTGGCACCCCCACCCCTTAAACCTGAATATACTCTCCTTGTTAAATCTACACTCCTAACCTTGATTCTGACTTTCAAGTGGTGTTGACAGATTCATTACAGTGACCTTCAGGGTCCTGTGAGCTGGTTTGTGTCACCATGAGGACAAAACGAGGAATGGCACTCAGTTGACACTTGCGTCTCTTCGTAAGCTAACTGCTCCCATGCCTTATCCAGGCTCAGAGCTGCTGTGGTTGAGCAGGTGTCCCCATGGTGGGCTCGCTGGAATCGAATTTCCCACTTCACCTCTCCCCCTTCTCCCACTTCCACTCTGTTTCCCTCTCCCTGAATTTTGCTTTCTTTCCTAGCTTGTGAGGATGCAGAGGAAGTTTGGCAGTTGGGCAGTTGTGGCTGCATGGCTGGTGGGGTTAATCAGGAAAGCTCCGGAAAGAAGACTTCACCCTTCCCGCCCCCCACCCCTCTCTCCCGGGATTGAACCCAGGGCACTGACCACTGAGCCACATCCCCAGCCTAATTTTGTATTTTATTTTGAGACAGGGTCTCACTGAGTTGCTTTGTGCTTCACTTTTGCTGAGGCAGGTTTTGAACTCTGGATCCTCCTGCCTCAGCTTTCTGAGCTGCTGGGATTACAGGCATGTGCCACTGTGCCTGGCTGACTTCATCCTTTTCTACGTGGCCTCTGTGCCGCGGGTGTGGACAGGCAGAGATGGAGAAGTGTCTGGCCATCAGCCGCAGTTTGAGCTACTAGGAGACCTCAGTCTGTAATTGTGATCTTATCATTCTTTGATTGAAGTGAGACAAGTGTGGCCAGTCCTCCAGAGTGTGGCTCTCAGGTTTAGAGTATGGAATCAAAGAAATAAGAAACTCACATTAACAGAGATCTCACTGTCAGACTCTTACAGAGCTCTTCATACAAAATAATTTCATTGTATTTTTGCACTAACTCTGGGAGAAAGACACTCTTATCTGCATTTTAACAGAAGAGGAAATCATTCCAGAGAAATTAAATACCTTGATGAGGTTCACACTGCCATCGAGTGTCATCTGAAAACAGGTACAGCCTAAGTCATTATGTAGTTAATCTCCAGGTGATGAAACAAAGTTCTTTTACTTTATTTTGGAAATAAATTACTTTGTGAGAACTATCCTCTGGATGCCCAAATTCCTATAGAGCTAAGCTTTTCTGGACATTATAATGATCTGGGGAGGTATCAATCTCTGGGCTATTTCCTCATTCTTAATAAATCTATAGAATTCTATGTATTATGCTTCGAGAGTTACCAGACTTTACAATTTTCCTAATTATTAGTCTAAGTTGCACGGTAGGACAGGTACCATGCAGTTGATTATTGAGTATGTTAATGTCTTTGTGTTATGAGACAGAAGTAATTCAGTTACATCAATATTCTCTAGTGATTCTCACAGGCTGGGATGAAATAGGGCCCAGATGAAATGCAGTTTTATTTTTAGCTGCCATTCTTGCCATCCTGTGAATATTGGTTTTATTTAAGTCCAAGGGAAATCTCTGGGTGGATTAGTTTCAGTTGAGGCTTTTAATTGGCATTCTCATTTTCTTCATTCATGCTCACTCTGTCCATTCATCTAATTAATAATTCATGCAGATGTGAATATACCCAGGGCTTCATGGGTATGGGGTCAGACAGGATGCAGCACACTTCCTGCCCCCTAATTAGTCCTTTTTCTTTCCCTTTGTTTTCATTCCTCTTGTTTGTCATCCACTTGGTATTTGTGTGTGTTTGTCCATTCACCTGCACGCAATCATGACTTGCACACACACACACACACACACACACACACTGCAGTGACCAGCCATGGCTTGATGTACTGACTATTCTGTTTGTTATGCTCAATTTGCATCCTGATTCTGAAATAAATCCTGAATCTCTGATGGTGCTTTATTGCCCTGGTTTATTACCCCAAATCCTATAATTGGAAAAATACACTATAGTGTGATCTTAAACTTTATCTCTCAAATTCTCTTGCCTGCAAAAATGATGGGTATGTGAGAAGAATCTTGGCTTAGGGTTGCATAGTTTGGAAAATAGATTCATTTGATAGAAGTGTATTATGTGGGGAAATTCATCATTGTGGATTACCACAGCACTGAGGAAAGAAACTGATAGAAATGATTAGGTATATTCAGAGTGTGTTGTCTTGACAGGAAAATCAATACTTTGAATAGAATTTTTAAAAATAGCAAGTACTAGTTAGGTCTAATTTATTCCCTGAAGCTTTTCCCTGTTGATGGCCAGCATGTTATTTTGTAAGCACTTCCTTGTAAACATTAGATATGTTTTCATGGCTATATTATTTTTATTATTTAAAAAGAAAGAAAGATACTCTGGAGCCGAAAGTGTTTGCTCAGAGTAGAATCAGCTGAATTTGTCCTGGGCTGATATTTCAAAATCATAAAAGCATAATAGTTATAAATAAAAACTGCAGTTTATTGTCAACACCCTTCTTAGGGTAGCCTGAGAGCAAGTCTAGCTGCTGTCATCTCAGGCCAGGGTGCCACCTGATGACGGTCATGCTGTGAACCCTCGTGTCCAGGCAGTGTAGATTACAGCCCTGTAACCACGTTGACAGTCAGCAATTCCGTCAAGAATTACTGCCAGGATGGAGCACTGGATGCCCTTTCACTGGTGTGTGTGTGTGTGTGTGTGTGTGTGTGTGTGTGTGAGAGAGAGAGAGAGAGAGAGAGAGAGAGAGAGAATACATGCATGTAGATCCTTGGAAACTGGGTCTCTTATTTAAATCATTCTGATGTTTGAGATCAGGGATAAACAAAATCAGTCTCTATCTTTCATCTCTATTTTGTTGATCCTCTGCCTACACAGCTTAAAGAATACTTGTTGGAAGCGATGAAATTAACTCCTCCTGGCTTAACAATCACAAAGATTTGACAAACGCGCATGGAAGCATTACATCCCAAATCAATGTGATAAAATTTCCTTTGGCTCATTCTGTTCATTTGAAAGATAAATTGAGACGAGACCCAAAGAGGATAGTGGCAAAACTAAATCAAGGACAAAAAATCTGCTAATTTCTTCTTTTATGCTGTTCTGATTATTTGTTTATAAAAGCCCCGGATGTAACGTGCTAGGGCAATGTGAAGGGTTTTCATGCTGAACACATCTTATCATGTCTAAACTCTTCTCTATCAAAACCAGTCATTTTCACCTTCCTGATTTTACTCCTACCAAATGTTTCCCCGCTCTCTCTTTGGAATACCTTTTATATTGAAATTGGAACTAGTAATTCCAGAAGATAAATTGCTATGTCACCATTTCCTGTCTTCTCTGAAAG